CCTTAAATCTCTCTCCGCTCCATTGCCTCTTACACCTATTGTTAATTAGATCTGTTTCATATTTCTCCATAATTTTTCTTCCCTGAATACTTAACCTTTCTTCAAATTCTTTTTTCTTACTGAATTAATAAATTTTACGACAAAACATTCATATATTGGTTTCATAAATGTATTTGAAGAACAATCTACTTGTTGATATACGTTGATTGTAATATTAGTTAATTGTTATGGCCTTATAGGTCATTCATTTATTTAAGTGAAGGAAGAGTTATTCGCACCTTTATTCCGTTCTAAACCAAATTTTGACACGAGCACTACAAACCCATCCATTATCCTTCACAAGCAATCCGCTATCCGTAGAACTATTCAATCCATAATGCTTTTATTTATTTAAGTCCAAACCTTTTGTGGCCACATGAAAAAAATTGCCCCTTAGACTCACTTTTTATTTAGCAGTACTCACATCTGCCCCTACATGGAATCAGGCAGAGTGCTCCGATCTAGGGACCTGTATGTTGGAAATTCATACAAAATAATGAACGAAATCTTGGGGTAGGAGTATTGTCTTACTGATTTCATATTTATGATGCAGTGACAAAACTTTTGCAAACAGACCAATATGACATAAATAGCCAAGTAATTTTTCATACCATCAAGGTGCTTGTCATATCTCCTATAAGACGTAGTAGGGAGAGTTATCTTTGCCTTTTATTCTCTTATATATCCATTAACTTACCATTCATTTTTCTCTTCTCTTTTCCTTCTCTTCCAAATAGGTGTATACAAATCTTGAAGGCAACAGATATCATGTTGTAAATACATCATGGGCTATGCTGACTCTAATTGCTGCTGGGCAGGTACTAATAAAGTTTTTGACCTAAACATGATTGTGAGAACTTATAAGTAACATTGAATAGTTAAAATAATATATTCACTTAAAGCTAACAAACAAATAGATATTTTTCATTTTGAAATCCAAGGAGGAAATGAAATGAGCAGTTTGAAACCTTAAGTTGTTGCTTTCTTCTGCCAATGCCCTGTGAAATTTTCTGGAGGGAGATGAAGACCTCATGAATATTTCTATGTACCTTCATGGATGAAAATTAAAAGATGGAGGGACCAAGCTGTGATTTTCTAATTTATATCCTCAGAAAACTGACTGGATCCCAATGGTGACTGAGACTTCCAATGACTTGAGACATATTGATTAGTGGTCTGCATGGTCTGGGTCATCCTGCTTTCATGTTTAAAATGGTCACTGCATGGTCTGGGTCATCCTGCTTTCATGTTTTAAAAGACATCTTTAACAGTCTTTCAAAAACTAATGACAAAAACCAAAACGAGAGTGTTAAAGATGAATAATTCCTGATTTTGGTTCAGTTTTCTGGTCTTAGAAAGTTTTCTTCTTTAAACAACATTTTGGTTAAAAAATCAGTAGTAATATTTAACGGGGGAAATAGAAGAAAATAAGTAGAAACAGATAAACCTACACTAAGATGACAATTATAACATGTATAAGATACAATACCTTCAACCACAGAATATTCTAGTAAAAGAAACCCCAGAGACTAAATTTTTCTCAACAGTAAATACTTTAGAGAAGAAAGTGAAACATAAATACACTATCGAATGAAGTTAAGAAATTCCATTGGAACATATAACAATCAGTTTGTTTTAGTCTTCTGCGATATTTAATTTTTAAAACCAACATCAAACCAAATTTTGGCAGTTTCCCATTTTTGTAAGACCAAAACTAACCAAATGATTTCTATAATTGTTGGTTTGGTTCAGTCGATTTTTTCCAAACGCTTTCCCCACTACTAATATTGGCATTCCTCTGAATTATGCTTGATATTTTGCCCATCTCTCTTCTCCCTCTCTTTATGGGGGAGAAGGGAAGGTGTTTGTGTGTGTGTGTGTTGGGGGGGTGGGGTGGGGGCTTTGGGATCAATAGTGAACTGTTATTTCTTAAGTCTTCAATGGTGTGCTTTAGGGTGTTCTCGTTGAAACACGCGGGCATACTCCTTGCTTCTGGGGACATATTTCTTCTGCTCTTGACTTTTCTTTACTTTTAAATTGCTCTTTTTAACAAGATATATTGAAAGAACTTTATGAAGCATTTGGCATTTCCAAGTAAGTTGATTTACATGGTTGGTCCTAATTTGAGATACTGAGACAGAGAAATGTTCAAGCAGAATGTTTGTGTTATCAATACATCCCAAATTGTTGGATCTGCATACACCTTTCAGCTGAATATTTTTGTACATCTTTGAAAATGTTGGAGTCTTCTGCTTAGTGATTATAATTGAGGGTTGTCATCCCTTTCTGCACAAACACATCCTTATAAATTACTGAGATGCGAAACTATAAATCAAATGGCACCTCTTTCGCTGAAGTTTACTTTTTTTCCCTTTAAACAATTGCAGGCTGAGAGAAATCCCATGCCATTACACCATGCAGCAAAAGTATTAATAAATGCTCAGCTAGAAAATGGAGATTTTCCTCAGCAGGTAATTCTGCAGCTTCCAGTCCCTGTAGCTTAAAAATGTTTGTACTGTATGCGAACAAGTGCCTGGTTGCTATTATTGAAAACAGCGTACCCTCCTTTTACTTTTTGACTTGCAAGTTAAAAGGTTGCGTAAGCGCTTGCCTCAGAGTTTTGATTTGGTTTAATTGGCTGTGCCTCTTGGGCGGAGTTTGGGGCTTAAATTGACTTCAGAGCTGCATACAGTTTTGGGAGAGGAAGTATGTAAATATAAACTACATTGTTCAAGAGAATCTGGTTAAGTGTTGGGTATCTTTCGTGGGAGAGTTAGCTTATAAGAGTACCTGGCTATGGGAGAAAGAACTAGTGGAGGCTGGTTCAGTAAATAAGGTCAAAATATTCATATTTCTAATCGTCTTGTTTAAAAAGCCCGCTGCAGACAAAAGTCTTTTATTTCAACGGAGATGGGTAAAAAGGCGGGCTCATTATCTATTGAGTTTCAAACTGCGTGCCACACTGGCCCTCAAGAGTTCATCAGTTATTTAAAAAAAGGTCAAAGAAGTCTACTCAAGTACAATGGTTGGGGTAAGAAGATGGCATTTTGGTTTAGTGTTAATGTAGGATAATATTTGCACTAGTCGCATGGTCATCCCTTAGTACCTTTCAAATGTATTATCCAGTGTTGGATAAACAAGGGGCGTTACATTGTTTCATGATTTTAGGGGTCCAATATGTTTTCCTCTGCTTTATGGTTTTCTCTGCGTATGACAACTTTGGTGTCCTTTCTACTAAAAAGGCAGGCCTCTATACAGATTGAAACTTGAATGTGATATATTATATTTTCTTTTAATTATTCGAAGTGCACTACTAAATTACATTTCTGAGGTAATAAAACTTGATAAACTGGTAGTGGAGCTGTTTTCACATCTCAATTTTATATGTAGGTGCTTCGTCATACTTGCCGCATGTGGAACTTAATGATCTTATTTGAAGGATAAATGTCCCACCATTATAGTCACTATGATTGCCACGCTTACTACTTTTTGTTTCTCTCTAATAATATATGTGGCTGGATAATTTGTTTACTTATCGACTGTCTTTATATTTCTCAGGATATCAGCGGGGTCTTCAACAGGAATTGCATGATATCCTATTCTGCATATAGGAACATTTTCCCAATTTGGGCACTGGGAGAATATCGTTCTCGCGTACTTAAAGCTAAATGAGTGTCAGTTCACGTTTCGCGAAGGCTTGACTCTTGGTTTTCTGTCCACCTTTAACACGCTAGATGCACGATGATTAGTTAGCTAGTTTACTTTATTTTTAGTTATTTTGCAACTAATCGTCTTTCGTGGTTCGTTTGCTGCCCTCAATAGTTTTCCTTCATTAGTTGGGAGGGAAACTGATTGAATGCTAAGACTAATAATGCATGTTAAGGTAGGACCACGAGAATTAGAATTTGATTAGAAGTGTCTCTTATCATTGTCTCGTTTCTTTCTAAAAAGCGTTCTTATTCACCAAATTGTCGCATGTCAACCCGAGAGTTGGGGTCCGAGGGTCTTGCATATCGGAAACCATATCAAATTAAAGAACTGACATGTGCTATCATATCATAGCATAGTAGCGAGACTATCAAGCACACATTGAATCACACTAGGACAACCAAATAAAGATAAATTATACACAGTCAGTCGCTAAGAAAACAATCTTCATTATTCAATGTTCAGATTTAAGGACAATTGCTTGATAATCAGATATGTCCTCAAGATATCATAATTTGAAAATAATTATAAAAAAAAAGGGGCCCAACTAGAACATGACTTGAGATTTAGTTTGACGATGATGACCTAACTATTATTTTTATCTTTTAGGGTGGTACATAGAAGAGAGGTAATGCCATATTCTTTTAAATCTGTACCGTTAGTGAATAAGACTTTAATAAATTCTTTTAATCAAGATACATATGATTGTATTCCATCTCTTGTTACTGCCTTGATAAAAACAGAATCTCTACTCTAAACAGATGGCGAAACGTTACACCAAGCTAAAACAAAAGGGAAAGAAATCCCGATGAATGAAGAGTCCGGAACCAAAATGTGGTTCTTTTGGATTCAAAAACGAAATGTGTAGAAAAAAAATATGGTGACCAATTTATATATAACGTCTTTTAAAAAGATGCTATACCTTAACGGCCATTTGCCCAGTTAAGTATAACGCTCTTTTAAAAGATGCTATACATATAACGTTCTTTATTAAGACGCTATATATATTATTTGGGCCCACAAATAATTCTTCTGGGCTTAACTGACATAACAATAATTCAACTGGGTATAGCGCCTTACGCTAAGACGCTATACCTCAAATAATTGAACCTCCGGAAGGTGAAGGATTTTGTAAAAATTCATTCATAAATATTTTCAAGTCTTCTGAAATATTTCTTTGTTTAGTTATTTTGCATTTTGCCATAATGTCTGAAGAGCGAAGGATTAAGGTTTCATTATATTGAGAGGGGGGAGGGTGAGGTTGTGGTGACTAATAACTCAGTAAGCTATAGTTTATCTCCATAGTGTCATGTTAAGTTGCCACTTACAATGGAGTACGATACATTGGTATCGTTGTTATGTAAAAAAATAAGTGTGAGCAACGTTCGGTGAATATTAAAGTAACCGAAAGATATCCATGTTTTGTGACTCCGCAAGGGGTTGCTTGTTATGGTGAGTTTAACATCAAAGACGATGAAACTCTGAGAGATTTTTTGAGGACTCCGGATGAATGCCGGAAATTTATTGTAATGAAACTATTGGAAATGTACGTCAAAGCTAAAGATGTTCGCAATAATGAGGTTGCACAAAGTAGGGATATCTATCAATCATCGGATGGTTATTTTGGAGCAGTTTTAGCCGAATAGGTTCAGGCTGAAAGAGTTTTGCTTGATCTAAACTTATCTCCACGGGCGAATGAGGAGCGAGAAAATAATTTCTCCCCTAGTTTACATAATCCACAAGACGAGTGGTAAAGTACAATTTTCCTTTGTGTTACGATGTATATTTTTGTGTGTTCAAAACCGAACAGAAATTGAAGCTTAATGGCTTATTGGTATCGGGTTAACGGTTTAATGAACGAGGAACAGATTGAAATTTTTTCATTAACGACTTATCGGTTTGGGGGCGGATTATTCAATTTTCTTAACGGATAATCCGCTAACCCGTTAAGAATATATATATATAATCCAATCCAAACGCTATCGGTGATATCATATCTCTATGTTCCGCATCCAATCCAAACGCCACCAGTATCATAATCAGCCAAGCGTTACAATTGACCTTAAGTTTCGCTTAACTTACCATCATCAAATATGTGTCATCGCTAATCTGGTGCCTTTTCATTCATAAGCAAATAATACATAATAGTAGCAAGAAGAAAAGGCAGCATCACCTCCAAATTAAAAGTGAAATCGGTTATTAACATGGTAATTTTACCTTCCGGTAGAAAATAAATGTTGCCGTTAAAGCGGACCACAAAATGATAGTAATAATCAACAACCTTGGTTAAAATTTCTTAACATATAATGAGTTCAAATTCATCATGTGAAAGAGGAAAGAGACTCATTTAGTTGACCATCAGGCTAACTTGGAACTACTAGAAGAGAGCGTATGTCTTCACACAATTCAACTGCTTGTGGAACGTGTAAATCTTGCCACTCCGTATATTTGTTGCGATAGTACGCGCTCTGTAATGCACGCAATATAGATTGAATTAGGCCGTTAAACTGCCCGATAAGAGCTAACCAATACCAATCCGCCCGATATCTTATCGGGTGGCTAGCGAATTAATACATTTAAAAGCCGATAACCGATAAGCCAAACCGTTAAGAGTAAATAGCTGCCCAATCCACCTGATAAGAAGCCTTATTTTTGTGTATTGAATTTGTATTAACACTCATATATTTTACAAGGGGTACCGACCAGATATGAATTTTACAAGTTATGAACCAACAGCCAGTTGGAATATGCCTAATTTTGGTGTGTTGGATCATGGCGGTCTATCCGGGAGTCATCATCAACAGGATAATGTGCATCATGGGATATCAATACATTATGATTTGTAAGTGAATATATAAATTCAAATGTAAAGTTTGGACCAATTTGAGTAACTCATTATTTTACTAGTTGTGCAGCGAAAATGAGCAACTTGATGGTCTTGTCCTTACTCAGTTTCCCGAAGACGACATATTTAATCGGGATCTGGCAGACACGCACTGTTAAGAAGAGAATAATGATTATGAAAACAATGCCGATGAGTCTGGAGATAACACACCCTTCCCTGACGAGGGTGATGATGATGAGAAAGATAATGCTAAACCTGATTTGACGAAGGAGCATGCTCCACCTCCCGTTAGACCAAGAGTGTATGAGTCACACATGTCGTTTCATTCAACGGAGATTCCCTACCTTGATCATTTGCCAAGTATGCCGGATGTGGATGCCCTCACAAGGGATATTGACGAAATTCGAATAGCAATGTGGGATGAATCTAGACCAACAGTGTTGTCAAAGGACATGCTTTTTCCTGATAAAGTGCACCTAAGCAGGACGGTGAAAATGTATAGCGTAAAAGAGTGTCGGGAGATGATGGTATGGGAGTCATCTCCAGATGTATACAAGGTTATTTGCCGTAGATGATTTACGAGTTGTAATTGGATTTTGCGTGCGAAGAAGAAGAAAACAAATATGTGGGTTGTGGGTAAATACATTGGCACCCACAATTGTGAAATGGACACATTTAGTGGGAATCACTTTAACTTGGATGTTGACTTGATTTCTCTTATCTTGATTCCACACATTGAAGCCTTCATAAGGTACAAGATCAAAGAGTGTATTACATCTGTCCACCAGAAATATGGGTGTACCATTACCAAAAGAAAGGCATTTTTCGGGCGTAAACATGCGTTTGAATTATTTATGGTAACTGAGATAAGCCATTTGCATATCTACCCAGATACATGGTGGCATTGCAACACTTTAACACCGGAACTGTTGTTGAATGGAAGCTTGAGCGGAGTCCGGGAATACCAGAACATATATTTAGATATGTGTTCTGGGCATTTAAACCAGCAATTGGTGGTTTTCTGCATTGCCGATCGGTAATATCCATAGACGACACTCATGTCTATGGAAAGTATGATATTAAGTTATTGATCACCATTGCAGTAGATGGTAATGGAGGTATATTTCCCCTAGCTTTTTCCATTTGTTCCAATGAAAGCCAAGAGACATGGACGCTATTTTTGAACCACTTGAAAGAGCACGTTGCCAGATAACATTAAGGTATTTGTCTAATATCTGATCGGCATGGTGGTATTTTGAGTTCTGTCCAGCATTTTCCTACATGGAAGGAACCGTATGCATACCACCGTTACTGTGTGAGGCACCTGAAGGCCAATTTCCAAAAGGCATATCCCAACAAGGACTTACATGATTTAATGTGGATGGCTGCAACTGATCACCAAGAGTGTAAATTCAGGAGGCGCATGGAATCGATCAGGCAGGAAGACGAAGGAGCCTATCGTTGTTTGATGTGACATGAGCTTGACAAGTGGACATTGCATGCAGATGGTGGTGGAAGATAGGGAGTTCTGACTACAAATGTATCAGAATCTTTCAACAGATTATTAAAGTCTGCACGTGGATTGCCTGTCACTGCCATGGTGCGGATGCCATTCAAATAGATAGCGGAGAGGTTTGTTGAAAGGGATAGAGGTGCATCGTCATTGATGGAGAAGGGTGTTGAATTTATGCCAATACCAATGAAAAGATTTGAGAAATACAGGAGGCGAGCACATTGGCATTCATATTTACAGTATTGCAACAAGCAAAATATTTTTGAAGTTAGCACCGCTATCCATCAAAATCTGAGGAATAATACACACAGCGTAAATGAAACTAGAAGGTTATGTTCTTGTGGGAAATAGTCCATCTACCACATGTCGTGCTCACATGCCACGAAGTGCTTTCAACATCTATTTTTTGCGGCAATCAGCTACGTTGATAAGGAATATAGTGTTGTTGCATATTTAAACACCTATAGTGGACAGTTGCAGCCAGTAGGTGCTGAGCACTATTGGCCACCAAAACCATTTAAAATGGTGTGTAACAAGGAGTATTTGCGTAAGCTACAAGTGCAAAAAAGAACGCGTATACGAAACCAAATGGATGTTGATGATACCATTTATGCGCGTAAATGTGACATATGCTTGCAAACAGGACACGACTATCGTAAATGTCCTTCGGCTGGTTTGGGTAGCAATGGTAATTCAGCTCCCGGTGAAAGTTCATCTAATGTGCCCAATTATCAAGGATACTCGTAGTGTTTTGTTCCAGTAATTTATTGTAATGAGTGTATGTACATGTTCATCTTGCAGAATGTATGAAATAAAATTATGTTTCTGTTGGTGTTAAGTCTTATTAATATTTAGCATTAATACTTCAG